CTGTTGATCAATATTAATGGTGGGTACTGTCATATCAGTTTGGTGTATGGTTTTTAAACGTTTATTCACATTATTATCATTTTTCGATTGTAATAATTCCACTTGGTTCACAGGATTGTTTGGTTCTTCTATTATAGTTGACAGTGTCTTGGTTACAGGTAGTTTTGCCACATTTACTGTCCTTAAATATAAAGTTTCCACAGTTTCATTAATTTTGCTTGGATCTTTTGGAGCAATCGGAATAAAACGCGAACTGGAAGTTGATGTAATAGTTGACGAACGATTTATCAAAAGATTATCCATTTCATCTTTCGAACATACTATCAATGTTGGCATAGTCATGATTTCGTGTTCTGTTATAGGTTGAATTGTATTGGACTGAACAGAATTAGATTGATTATCACTGGTTGTTTGATCGCGTTTAGGTTTCGTAAGTCTTAGTCGCTTTACCGAGGACTTTTTAACTTTAGGCTGTACATTGCTATTTACAGGTAATGTAACGTCATTAGTTTTCTGTATATCTATTTCTGCTAACGGTTTTACAGCATTCTTATTTATTGTAGAGGTCATTGTTTGCATTTTTTGTTCATTATCATCGTTTACGGTTATTAATTCTTTTGCATCAAGAGTCTTTTTGTCACTGTCAGACACACTATTAATAATATTGGCATTTATAATACTCAACACTGCGGCTGCATTTTGATCTTCTAAAGTGTTCCGATCTTTCTCTTGATCTCTCACTTTGTCGACTTCGTCTTCAACTCTGTTATATTGTTGTCTTGAAGAACTACGAAGTCTGTGTTTCAAAGGGACATCTGTTGTGCCGTCCTCCGTGATTACTTTAGTATCCATTACCACTGGCTCTGTTGAGTTAATATTGTCCTTATCTGTTTCCATTTGATTCTTTTGTATTCTAAAAATATTACAATACTTTAAAAGTATAGTATTCAATTTATAACGAAATATCCAAATATAAAATCTATACACACTCATTAGCAGATTTTTGGCTTAACTTTCCTTCGCCATCTTCCTCTGGACTTGTGTCTGTTTCTGTATGCACCCCAATGGTTTCAGCGATAAATCGTTTAAACACAGGATCAGATTCTGTTGTTTCAACGATTGATTTAATAGCATTATTGATCTCAGCCATAAATGAAGTGTTCCCTTCACCAATTATTGATTCATTCAAATCGTCTTTCAAAGATAAGTCCGTAGGAATGATTGCTCTATTGATGTTCTCTGCAATACATTGTTGTAATTCTTCACGATTCAACATTTCTTTCGTTAATATCTGAAAATGTATGTAAACATGCATATATATTTAATGATATAACGTTCTGTATTTACAGTGATTTGGAAAGTAAATTTTTATAAATTATAAATTATGTTATTGTATAAATAAAATAAATTGTGTAATTATTTTAATGTAAATAATATAAATATACAAATAGAAAATTAATAACTTAGATGCTTACACTAAGATTTTCAATAGGCACATCATTAGATTCGGACTCTGATTCAGGTATCTCATAAGGAATAGTTTGAACTTCTGCACTAGAAAAACTTAATAATTCTTCTGTACTTGTGGCTGCAGTATACTGTTTAGGTATTGTACTAATTATATTGCTTTCTTCCTTTCTTTTATCATCAATATCCATTTCGCAACTTCGTACACTTGAAACATCGTCTATACAAAGAAAAATAAAGCTATAAACTTGTCTATTAATTTATATGATTGGTTTGCTGTTTTTATAATTATACCTAAACTTATCCGAGTACTATTATTTCTATTATGTGTAGCAATACTATTTGTACTATTATGTTTATCGGAATCATATTGTCTGTGAAGTTCCTGTGTGAAATTGTCATCCCTTTTCTCTGTATGAATAGCACAGTCTATCTGCTTTAACAAATCAACATTTCCAGGCAGACTTTCTAACGGTGTTGTGTCAATATTGTGACAACTTGCTGCTATATTTAAACGTCATAAGTTTTATCAATATCTTGTATTATATAAGGCATTATAAACATTGCAAATAGATAAATAAAATAAACATACGTGGGCTCATGATTTCAGATTGTTGTACTAAATTTAACTGAGATTTAATATTGCGTTTAATTCGTTCACTATTACTATGGTGCCTTTTCCGTAAATTACTTGCAACAACAGGTGAGCCACTTGATATTTGTGTATTGCTCTGTAAAATGTGAGAAAATATTATATCAAATAATTTAAATATTATAACCTATGTTTATATGCTCTATACATATTGCAGTTGTTCTTTTTAGAGCTTGTCCAAAATTGTCTTTCCATTATGCTAAATATGACAGATTTCTGCAAATTTAGAATACTCTGTGGAAAGCAATTAAGATAATGATAAGTTACCTGTGAAGGTACATTAATATTTACAACAAATCGTTGACCACGTGGCTCTTCTACAAGAAACTTGAGTTGCTCTATTAAATCTCCACAATGCTTTAACTGTTCACAATCAGTGGCTTTGCTTAAACGTTCTTGAACTATAAGAAATAATGTGTTTGGACATAAGCTAAATATTTACAGAATATATACCATCTATATCTATTTATTATTATTACTTAAATTTAAACTAAATATTTAATTGACACTATTATTTACTCATAGCACTGATAGCTGACAATTTTTCAATAATATCCATCAATGTTAGACCATTAACTCTTGTGCTAAATCTCCTCCCACAAGAAAGTACTGTACGGCATTCTTGCAAGTGCGGAGATGTCTCTAAAAACAATTTAGCTGCTTCAGTGCATTTTTGATCTTCCAAATAACCTAGAAGCAAAAATTTTTTAACAGGTTTACGACATAAATCAACCATACAACTTGATTAGTGCTATTAAATAAAAACAATATATAAAATAAACCTAAAGTATAAAAATTCCTACACAATATGTAAAGAAAAGATGATTCTCTTTGTTGTGCTTTCTATAATTCTCTGAGTTTCTTCCATCCTCTCCAAATTTACGCATATAAAAAATATGGTTAAAACAAGCAAACTCAAAGAAATACAGTTAACAAAAGTTTTTCTTTTTCTATTAAGAAAACTTTAGTCGTACAATTACATAATATTTACAATCTTAATGTCTTAAAATCAATATTAGTCTCAAATGTAAAAAACACTGTCATATTATTTGTTTGTACATTAGATACGAAGACATTAAGAAGACAATATAATTACGTGAAAAAATTCGATGGCATAAAAGGGATATATTCTTTCAAGCAAAGGCAGCAAATTGATGATGACACAGAAAGAGCCTAAGAAAGGCTACAAAGTCTCCAAGGGATGGTGTTCTCGCGGGAAAGGTTACGTGTGATATTTTGGTTTTGATTCTGTTGGATCTTACCGAGCACCAGTCGCGCGATCTCGGACGGTAGTAAAGCTTCCATGATTGCGTCGAATATACCTCGTAATGCCCAGGAAATCTCATCGAGGCATCACGATTTAAGGCAAACAATGCTACTCTCGAATGCACTATTGCGTCTCAACAATGGCAACAAATGGCAAACATGCCAAACATTTGTAATGCATTGCTACCAACGTGTAGCCTCTCGCTTTTCTCAAATTCGACAACTTTGACTGACAAGTTTAACAAATGAATACGCATCACTGTTCTCTTCTCAAAACGGAACGAGACTGTTTGTTGCGACATTATCGTAATTATCATTTGCAAAGATGTTTAGAGGTATTTGGAATTTTCATCGGCTCGTATTTTCGATCACTTTATTTAAATTAGAATATTCATCGTCGAGCACGAGACTAAGTAATAACGTAGAAATAATAACAATATTACAGCTTGAGGGAATATCACCTTGTTTTTTAAACTTATATTTCGCGGCTGCATTCAAATCTTCCATTCATATCATCGCCATTTTTACAATTGGCAAACAGGACGCCGTAGTCGCCGCGCCGAAAGAAAACAATAAGCTAACTAGCTGAAGTCCGCGCGTCTGCGCACGAGTCCCAACCAGGGGTAAAATCACTAGATTATTAGGGGCTCCGCACAATAAAAGGAACAGGGAACAGAGAATAAGAATTTTAACCTATCAGAAATCATGTATTGTGGAATACGCAGGGCGTACTCCACAATACATGTATATGTTTTTTTTTTATTTATGTACTTTTGTGTTCCTGAACAGTTCTGAACTGTACTTACATGTATCTTTCGTGCACTTTTATGCACAAAACTTCTACGACAAATAAATCCTTATTAAACTAAAGAATACATAAATTGAGCATTCCTACATATTCTTTCATAAATAAACTAATTACAACTACAAAACATTGATTTACATACTTGAAGGCTTCATTTTCCCAAATAAAGCATGTACACAAATGCATAAATTTGAAATGGCCGCGTTTCGCGTGAAAATGGATGCGAGTTTGAGATACTTTATAGATCTAGTGACTTTATCCTTCCTTACAGATACAGCGCTTTTCCGACACCGTGAGTTTGTTCTTTTTGGTTGAACTTTTGCACCTGTTCATCTTTCTTCTTCTTCTTTCCTCCTGAAGAGAAAAATGATCTGTTTTCTGTGGCTGAACTAGTCTACACTTTTGGAATTTAAAGTGAAATAGGTATATGTTTGACATTTGTCGAAAGCGAGAAAGAGAATTCTAGTGCAGTTTAGTGCAAGAACAGAAAACAGACCAAAGGAAGAAAAATGAACTGGTGCAAAAGTTCAGCTAAAAAGAACAGACCTATTTTTTTCGGGACCGGCCGCTTGAATTTGGTCTCCTTTTTACTCCGCGTTTTTCTTTCGCCGTTAACTCCAGGGAAATAAGAAGTTAGTTGGATCAGGGTGGTGTATATAAAGAATTCTAAAGCAAATCCATTCAGAAATTGCTAGAAATCGAAATAAGAGTATCAAGGAAAATAAGAAAAGAAATTCATTGATTCAGACTGAAGCAGAGAACTCTGAGCGGACACAGGATTTTCTAAGAGAAACGACATCAACGGCGAAAGAAGACTGACAACGTGGTGGGCAGACATTTTCCCGTGTATGTACAGACATCTTGTAATTTGTATTCAAATACCGCGTATGGGTGTGGTCGAGTAAGGCCCAGTTTCACAATTCACGGTTAACTCTTAATCGAGATTCAACTTATTCATTATCTCTTTCCAATTTTAGAATTGGAAAGAGATAATGAATGAGTTGAACCTCGGTTAAGAGTTAACCGTAAGTTGTGAAACTGGACCTAAGTCGAGTTGCCACTACGAATGCTTCAAAGTAGAGTCCTAGGCTGCGTTCCGTTTCACGAATGATGCGCATGTTGTATTATTTATCCTTGTTACTCACCGAATATTTTAAATAAGAATAAATGATGCGCATAATGCATCGTTTATCCTTGTTGCTTACCAAATGTTAAACAAAGACAATGGATGCATCATGCGCATCATGCGCATCATGCGCGATACGGAACGCACCTATATATTATAAGAGATGCGCAAATGGGATTCTATTGCTGATTGACTGAGCGGTCACCAATCAAAATCGGAAATATCGGGCTCGCATCGATTATCAAATTAAAACAAAGCAGTTGTACTAAAGATCCTGTGTAAGATTCTACAGATTAGGTTAGGTTAGGTTGAAAGTATTACAATACTAGATTAAGAAATATTCTTATTTTTCAATTTTATACTATAAGATAATGATCAACAAAATATGTCATATGATGATAATTTTACTTAAATGTTTTAAAAATATTGATGTCACGTACCGATTTAGTCTACATTTCTCAATTGATATTTCGCAACTTTTTCCCGGTTTTGATTGGTGACGACCGCTCAGCCAATCAGCAAGCGGATCCCATTTGCACATCTCTTGTATAGTACTCTACTTCGAAAAATTTAATCAACCAATCGGAAGAAAGAATTTTACTATTTGACCAATCAAAAAATGCTTCGAAGCATTCGTAGCGGCAACTCGACCACATTTATAGAAACATACAAAAAACAGCCGATTTTACTTTTCTCGGTTTCGGTCTTGAAATAAATATACTAGTGCGAATAACACACACACAGTTTACACTGCCAAATCTTATATATTTCATACATTTTCTGTTTTACCTTATAAAGATTCTAGACATTTCTTTACATCTAATAGAAATAGTTTACGGTCTACTATTATTTTCCTTAGAAGTAAGGTTCCTCTGCTTTGTGCAGTGTTATTCCTGATTATTTCCTCATAAAGAATTAAGATTGTATATCCGACAGGGTGGTTATATATATGAAGATGAAACGTGCTCAGCTAGAGGACATGACTCTTGCACAACTCGAACAAGAAGCAAGAAAATTTCAGTTACAAGTTTCAAACAATAAAAACGAGATAATTGACGCAATCATGTCTTACCTGGAGCAGAACAGCTTGCCGATACTGGATTCAGAAAGTGGCGAGCAAGCTGATATAGAACAAAGCGTAGAACAAGAAAACACACCTAAAGCAACATCGGTGGATTCAAATAATGATAGTAATAATTCTCTAACGGCGTTCCTAGCTACACTTACCTCCCAGATGCAGAATCATAATCAACAAATATTAGAGCTGTTCCGGCAAATTCACCAACAGATGATGCAGCATGAACAATCAGTAGTTCAGCAGGTGTTTACGTTTTGTAATACGAGAGGCACGCAAGTTCCTGTTAAGTCGGTAGAATGTGACACGGTATCAGCAAGTTCTAAAGACTTGCTACTCGCCTCGCTTGGATTCGCAACTACAAGTCAAACTATCGTTGAATCATCACCGTCAGCAAATCAAGTATCTCTATTGGCGCAGCACATTCCAGAGTTTGGTGGTGGTGAAGAAGAAAATGTGGTTGTGTGGATACAGCGCGTCAATGAGGTAGCCCAATTTCATAGAATGACCGACGACATTACGTTATTAGCAGCTTGCAGTAAGCTGGTAAAAGCGGCTGAAAATTGGTACAAGACTCAATCAGGTTCAATGCTAAAATCGTGGGTTGAATTGCAAGCGGTGTTACAAAGAAATTTTGGACAAAAGGTATCTTTTGGCATCCAAATGCAAAAGGTCAAAGCCAGACAATGGATCCATTTCAAAGAATCGTTCCAGCAATATGCGACTGAGAAACTTGCTCTAATGCATAGTCTCAACTTGTCGTTACAAGATTCTATTGATTTGTTAACAGATGGAATTACAAAAGCTTCGTTCAAAGCCACAGCATCGATGATGACAGATATTTCAATAGAACAGTTTGTAGAGAAAATGCAGCGATTTACGGAAGCTTCTAATGAGATAAAAAGATCAGTAAATGATTTCAAAATCAAATCAAAGAATCTTCCCTGTACAAATTGTGGAAAAACAGGACATTTCGAGAAGACTTGCTGGGTTCCAAAAGTCACTTGTTTTTTCTGCAAGGCGAAGGGACACCGAAAACAGGATTGTCCAAAATTGAAAAAGCATAAACCAGTAGTAATGATGCAACCAACTGCAACCAACTACAATTTTGTGACGCGGGGTCTGGAGATATCATCCGTTATGGAAAATAGGAGTATTACAATAAGTAACTCACTTATAAAAATTGTAAGACTTAATAATCATAAATGTAATTTATACGCATTAATTGATACGGATAGTCCAAACTCTTATATAAATTTGTATGTGTATAAAAAGATTTTCTTACGGAAGTTAGATAATTTACCGAATCTCGAGAATTGCTTAATAAAATTTAAAATTTATTTGGAACAATGGCCAAATATACCGTTTAATATTGAATTACAGTTAAAAAATAATTTTAGAAATGATTTAATTATTGGTCAAGATTTTATTACAAACGAAAAGTTAAATATTATAGAAAGACGATTTTTGTATTATAAAAGTGAAATGGGCCCACCGATAAAGACTGAAAGCGAGAAGAATACGTAATAAGTTTATTGTTTAAAACAGTTATATTAATCAGAAATTTCCGGGCAATTGAGAACAATAATAACGCAGAAGTTGATACGTTTGGTCTTAACAATAGTATATTTCAATTCTTATATTACAAATCGATCGAACGTTTCAGCTCCATTTGAGCCATCTTCAACGATGAAATAATTACATGTGATGTTCTTGGTTGTAATTCATGTGATGTATTAAATCGAAGAGTGCAGCAAGTAGTCTCAATTCCAAATTTAAGAACGTAACTGTCAGAAAGCTGTACGGCTAAATGATCGCTAAAGGCTAATAAAGAATTAGCGCAAGACAGTTGTGAAGAGGAAAGTGAATCTTGAAAAGACTTGCCTCCTGCACTCCTTGTGACTGCACAATTTATTATTTAAAATCCATAAATTTTGCATTTAATACGTTATATGAAATAAGTATATATTCGGGCGTTGGAAAAAAGAAAAAAAGATTTTACGTTCAAAAGATGTAAACAGCGCAAACAGATTTTTTTAATGTTATCGTTTTAGGGTGCAATCATATGGAATCAGAAATAGCGGAATCGAATAAAAATGGAAGAAGCAAATGGTATACATTAATCAATAAAAAAAAATACAGAATCTAGTTAACTAATCAGAATTAATTTTATTTTTGTTCCAATTCTGCTATTTCTGACTCTACGTGATTGCATCCTTATCTGGTATGGCAGCGAGTCAAACTTGTATTGACTGCCATATACAGGACGCGACAACGTTTACGTGGTAGAAGTTATCGCTGTAGTCAATAAATTCGCTTTTTCATAAAAGCAAAAAAATAATTGGGCACGTTCAGCGGACTCAATAATTGAGTAAGCACCACTTTTTTAAGTCTGGTAAGCATTAACACTGCTACTGATATATTCTTCTAAATTTAAACATCTGATTGGATGATCTATAAAAATACATTAATAATAGCGAGCGCTCTCTCAACTATTGAATCCGTGCTGAGTGTATCCATTAGCTACCGCGCCAACTTCTACGCCACGCCGGAAGCACTGCCTATGCGGTTTTTTTTTTTTTTATTAAAATTTAGAAAACATCGTTCCGTCTGTGAAACTGCAAATTAAATGAGTATCTTTAGGTTTTTTCGCGTTGCGTGCTGATGGTGATTGAACTAGGTAATAGGAAATTTAAGTAATATGGTAGGAAGACACAGTTGTCAGCATTTGTTCAGATAAAAGAAATACGCTACTTTTATAAATATAGGGCTTTAGCATTGCCGTGTTTTTTTTATTATATTTTTTTTATTATGGATTACTAAAGCACTTATTTGTATACATTGCATTACGGTGTAATATTCATTTCGAAACCCACAACGTGTAATATTAAGGAGATCCCAAATCATCCTAACTCATCTGTGATCGATTCAATAGAACTTACGCACATATGTGTGATTTATGTGCCATTGACACATTATTATCTACATATTACTACATCAATATCGCAATTTATAGCAAATTCAATTGGACGCACTAGTGCATATTAAAGACGTACTAATCTAACTTGCGAGTAAAATCCAAATATTTTGAATTACAAAATACAGATTTTACTTAACGGCACAATAAGATGTATTGAGGATTTTATGGTTCATTCCGTTTTTATATTAATTAAACATTTTTACGTTTATTACGTTGAAAATGAACTTTGGGGGTGTATGTTAATTGCATACGAGGTAGGCTGCGGTCGATTTAGATGCTTACGTGCTTTAAGTGCTTGTAATCATCATTTTGTCTTTATCGTTCATTAGTCGTAAAATAAGAATAGAAGTACTGAAAAGCGCTGAAAGCGTTCAAATCGACCGCAGCCCTAATTGCGCACAAGCCAATTACAGCGCTAGAAAAAAAAATATAAAAAACTTCCTACGCAGAAGTCGCTGTGATATTTATTTATATTCCTAATATCTTCTCTATTGTGCCCAGGGACTAATTCCATCATGAAATCTGCTTGAAATCCCCCCCCCTCACCAAATTTTTTAATTTAAAATGAGATAGAAACATATATGCTGAGTGTAAAAAGTGCAAGCAACGCGAACAGATCTATAATCTTGAAATGCTATGCAATTGCTGGCATCTGATTGGTCGAAATTTATCCATCCCCACCTCATGCGCAATGCTTCACCTTTCTGATTCCACCATGACGCACTCTTGTTATTCGCACAGTTTGTGATAGGAAGTCTACACGCACGATGTGGATCGTAGATGGAAATGTTATCGAAGAATAACTTAAAATATTTCTATCAAGTGATTTTTGTTACATAATTAATGTTTCCTACATAATTATTTTTTCTAACGTTTTTTTACTTAAGGTACAACATAATTCCTGTAACTTTTTCGTCTATGACTGTACTTCCAAATTATGCTGTCGTCGATCTAAATTGCTCTTGAACATATCTGTTATTAGAATATTTGGTCGCATTTTTGTTTATCAAATATAAATAAAGGATATCTACTTTTACAATTGAGATACGATATGATTTTTTTTTTAATAATAAGATCGATAATAAAATAAAGAAGTTATCAACAATGTATATATCAACAGAATGTTTAACCTAAGTAGAAATATTCTAATGTAATTTTTTTCTTTTTTGCACAATGAAGAAAAATTTATATAAAGAGTACTGTAATTAAATAAGATAGATGTAAAGAATTACATATGTAATATGGGCGAGTTTTTTTATTCATCGATTGATTAATTGCATTGTAAGTAAATGTAATTTTGTTATGTAAAAACTGCATTTGCACATAATATGATTGATCAATCGATGAATTAAAAAAACTCGTTCTACACATTGAATATAAAATACAATTATGATAGAAAATAACAGTTAGATTTGATTATTAAGTTATGAATAAAGAATTATTTATGCTGATCATAATCTGTTAACTTATGCTTTAACAATTTTTACAAATTATAACACAAGTTAACAGAATATGATCAGAATATATCAGTAGAAAATGATCCTTGAGAACTGAAGACAGATGGTTGTAACTACAAATGTTTTATATTCCTTAGGTACTTGAAATGGGTTGGGTATTAGAGGTAGCCAAAATGTTTCTCTATTTATCGTTTCCTGTTGGAGTATTTCACTATGTCAATCAGCCAGCTTACTTTGATAAATGGGTGATACAAGCAAAAAAGGAGTACTTCCCAACACAGAGTAAACAGGTGCATGAGGAGATGGACAACTTTATTCACGAATTCAATGCTAAAATTGAAAAGAAACAGTTGGATGCTATGGAGAGACAGAATAAAAACAAACAGTGAAGAAAATATATTATAATGTTTCCAATTGTGTGATAGCAGTAGTAAAATTTATTTTTTTGTACAAAACATTAAAATACCTTTGGATAATTAGCAGTTAGTAAAAATAAAAGTATTGGTGTGAAGACTGCTTTAATCCTCATATTTTTCTATATTATTATAGAAAGAAAACTTAAGTTTCGAATTTGTAGGAAAATTAGCTGTTTTTTATGTTTTAAGCCTCTCATTTTATAAAATTTATTTCTTTGTAAAATATTTTTATTATAACATACTTTTTTTATTAAGATGTTTATTATATAAGGTATTTTTTATTATTTAAGAATAAATGTAATTACGAGTAGAATATATTTTTATGTTATAAAAAATTAATTGTTTTTATGTTTTTTTTCCGTTTTTGAGACAGTTTACTATCATATGTTTTGAATATCTTTTTAATGAATATATTTTATCGCCAACAATGTTATGGTGTATGTTACGAGGGATACAAGTTAGTCTAGGTGGCGTTTGTCATATACGGAGCAGAGAAAATGACGGTACCGATGCCTCCTCTAGAACGAGAGTCCAGAGAATCACTATGCTAGTAACATCTGTGTAATTAACCCGCAGTTACTTCCAATAAGCAAAATGTTCCACTAATGTAAACAAAATGGTTTAAACTATTTGAGGCTCCGACAAAAACACCCGTTGCCGTCCCGCCAGGGTGCCGTGCGTCCGTCATCATGTGGAAGTGCCACAAATGCGGCAAACCCGTTTACTTCGGTGAGTTTTCGCGATTTGCGACTTGTCGAGGCGACTTGCTCACTCTGACAAGTATTATGCTACTCGCGATTTGGAGCAGAGCGATCGATTTACCTCGTTACTGGACGTCATCGATACAGGACACTCGGTTATATTGTGATTAAAGTAAAGACTCGAAACTGTATTGTTACTTTGATTATTTATAATATTAAAAATCAATATACATCTGTACAATATTATAAACTAACAATAAGAAACCTGTACTGTTATTAGTATTAACTCTCAGAGAAAGTTTAAATTATTTAGATACATAATTTAAACAAATATATCAATTTTTTTAGCTGAACGTAAACAGTCTCTGGGATATGATTGGCATCCAGAATGTTTGCGATGTGAGGAATGTGGAAAGCGTTTGAATCCTGGACAACATGCAGAGGTAATGTAAATAAAGCATTTATTGTTCTTTTAGTTATAAATTGATATTTTTTAGTTTAAATTATATGATAATTATAATATATATTTTGTTATTGTATTAAAATTAGCACAAAGGTGTGCCTTATTGCCACGTTCCTTGCTATGGAGCACTATTTGGACCTCAATTATTCGGCCATGGCACAAGGGTGGAATCACATACAAGTTTTGGAAAAAAGGAAAGTCGACCATCTTTACCAAGGTAAACATACATAAAAATTCTATATAAATAATTTAAAATAAATTTTTTATTATTTGTTTTAAGATAGTATATAATTTTGTTATTTTATATTCATTGCTTTAGCATAAACCTAAATTTAAAAAATCCAAGAAGTTCTATTTAAAATAAATTAAAAATTGCAATAGTTGAATGTTTCACTAAAGAAGATAAACATTTTATTATTTAGATCATTCATTTTCTAAATAATTTCTTAAAAATAAATATCTTTTTAGATCACATTTAGAATCCAAGTTGAAAGTTTTTAATCAGTATTACGAAGGCAAAAGTGGAGGAATTCGAAGTCGTGAGGTATAAAGGCTTTTCGAAATATTTGTACTTGGTTCTTATTGTAAAAAATATCTTTGTGAACAAATAGCAATTTAAAACAGGTTAATGGAAGATTGATACTGGAAGGTGCATTGAGAATTTATTGGGGAGTCCGTGGTGTAATCCATCTGAAGGAAGATGACGATCAGCGCACAGTAGTTACTGCACGAAATAGAAACTCATGCAGGCACAGTGTTTCTGAGGTTTGTCATTTTTATTTGCGTTAAGATTTAATAATAATATCTATTCATTGCTTTTAATTATGATAGGATGTTGAAGACGAAGATAAGGCAGATGAGCTATCTAAGAGCACATTGGACAGCAGTGTGGAGAATAATGCAAAGTCTGTTCCAACATCGCCCGATCATTTGAAGAGTCTCACTTTGCCTATGAAATTGGATGTCAAGAATATGGAATGGGACGAATTAGATGAACTCCTACAGGTTTTATTTTTAATATTTATGTTTAATTGATTATACAGAAGTAACTAGAGAAGTATGATTGCAGGTGGAACGGAAGGTTGAGGATGGTAATAAATTATATCAGACGATGCCTGAGAATCTTCCGTCGATAAGTTCGCAATCTAGTGTGGATACGCCACCACTCTCGTCTCAGTCGAGTCTCGATCGATCAGATTCCCGCGAAAATTCGGAAACAAGCAGCCCCAATCATCACACTACTAGTCGAGATAACGATAGTAGCTTAAATAGCACGCCAACGCACAGCATAGGTAGTTCTTCTAGTACAGATACTCCTGTCTGTAATTTAGGAGCTTCTAATCGAAATGGTACGCTTCGAAGAGTAGAGTACTTTGACAACTTGGAGAAGAACCCCGGCAATAAGTCAATTAGCACCGATGATAGCTGGATCGAAAAAGGTTTGAACCGATCGTTGTCCGGTCCTGATTGTCTTCAGAGACATAGAACTGATAGTGACACGGATTCGGTGAATTCTTTGCAATTCAGAGAGGACGACAATATGACTATGTCTACAGACAGTGGATTAGAGGTATCATGTCGCGAATTTATTCTGTCAACTTCATAATTTTAAGTGCACATATGAATTTATCTTCTGATTGCAGCTAGATGGTGTCGTTTTGCGTCGCAAACAAGGCTCCACTGCGATCAGACGACGTCCAGGCGGCAGACGTCAATCACGAAGCCGATTACGACGTCGTTGCTCAATCAATGGCCACTTCTACAATCGAGAGACCAGTTTCTTCACGCCACCTCACGGGTCGCAGATGTCCGTTTGGGTAACGAGTCTAGTGAACACTCAGGAAGTTATTAATCTTATGTTGGACAAATATAAAGTTGATGCCAAGTCTGATAACTTTGCATTATTTGTAGTCCGCGACAATGGTGGTAAGAAAACTGCGATTCTCTAGAAAATTGACTTACGTGTGATTATATTTTTCTTCATTATATGCAATCTGTATTGTTTTCAGAGCAAAGAAGACTGAAGGATGACGAGTATCCTTTAGAAGTTCGAGTAGTCTTGGGTCCTCATGAGAACGTTGCACGACTGTTTCTGGTCGATAAATTATCCACGCCTGAAATCAGTTCCGATGTTGCGCAGTTTCTTAATTTATCTGTAGCAGAATGCCATGGCATACTACAACGTTACCATTATGAAGAGGAACGTCAGATTCTCGTCTTAAAAGACAAGTGAGTACATAACATTTGTCAATAAGAATCGCAATATTATAATAATTCGATATTTCAGATATAAAGACATGCGAAAAAAAATAAAACAAAGAATGGAAGAGCTAAAAGTTCGTTTATAGATAGAATGATGAATGAATGTTCGCATGGATATTCACGCAACTATTTTTATAAGCGATTAAACAATTTCTCTGTAGAAAAATGTTCATGTGGTAAGAATCTATAACTCGTACCATGCCGAATAGGTATGTATTGCAGTAACATGACACAATCTATGACATAAAGCATTTCTGAAATACCATACAATATACGCCTGTATTTCAGTTTTATTTGTAGCTTAATGGGCTTTCTATTACAACAAACTCTCTATTACCTAAGTTTTAAGTCTTAAACCATAAGAAATTAACCAAATACAGTTGAATATGAGAAGAGTAATCGATTATGATTAGTCAATTTCTTGTAGCTTAAGACTTAAAGCTTAGATGATGACTTATTGTAGAAAACCCATAATATTTCGTTATTATGTTCTTTTATTTTAAATTTTTGTTGCATTTATTCTATAATTGTTATATATGGAATTGCTATTAAGAATATACTTTAATATGGAGATCGAATCTCTAGTGATTTTATATCAAATTTTTGCATTTTTCATAGACGACGTTTTATATATATATATATATATATATATACATATAAAACAAT